TATCCAAATTTATGATATCGGAATCGGTATCGGACATTAAAAAGTAGTATTGTGCCATCTCTACAATATAGAGCCCTGTTTGAGGTGTGAAATAAACCGCAATGGAGTTTAAAAACAAAATATGGGTGTGTGGCTGGAGGATGTGTTTGTTCGCGGGGGTTAGGTGGTGGGGGAGGCCAAGATTTTTCTTGTAAAACAAAGGGGGGTCTGAGCAAAAAAAGTTTGGGGACCACTGCCTTAACCAGACCTGTGGCTCCAAACCGTAGTAAAGAGACATCTGGCTAGTACTTCAGATTCCAAAAAAACACAAACAGAAAAGTGAAACATGGTAATCACATTCATCCTGTGGGGCAGCCAGAGGTAGGTGGGACCCACATTTGTGAAGATAAGTTACAACTTTAAGGCTCTCACCTGTCCATCTTCGCTTTACTAGTATAAACACATGGTTAAACCAATAATCTGGAGGCCACACATATCTATATTATATGCTCATCACCAACAGTAACAGCAAAGTAAGCAAGCCCACCAGTACATATATAGCCCCTCTACAGCAGTTCAGTCTACAAGACCCTTATCTTTCTTAAAATCCATAACATTGAGCCTTTTTCATCAGAATCAGAATCAGAATACTTTATTGATCCCTGGGGGAAATTATTTTTTTGTTACAGTGCTCCATTATAAACCAACATAAACCAACATTAACAAGACAGACAATACGCTAACTAAGAATAGTACTCGTATTATTCTTAGTTCATCATTCGTGAACAAGACCCCAAGATACTTAAACTCCTCCACTTGTGGCAGGAACACGTCCCTGACCCGGAGTGGGCACTCCACGCTTTTCCGGCTTAGGACCATGGCCTCCGATTTGGAGGTGCTGATTCTCATTCCCATTGTTTCACACTCGGCTGTGAACCGTTCCAAGGCGAGCTGGAGGCCATCACCCGAAAAAGCCAACAGAACCACATCATCTGCAAAAAGCAGAGATGAGATCCTGAGACCACCCAAGTGAAAGCCTTCCACCACTTAGCAATGGGCCAGACAGGACCCCCCGAGGTACACGGTCGAATGCCTTCTCCAAGTCCACAAAACACATGTACACACATGGGCAAACTCCCATGCACCCTCAAGTAT